TATGACAAACATGGACCTTAAGCTCATCTTTATTGTCAATAGCAGGCTGCAGAATTTATATGTATTAATTCTCTATCTGTAACTATTGTTGTTTATATTTACAGAAAAGTGTATTGAATTAGTCCTGAACTCTGCCCTCTTCTCTTTGCAATCACGACTGCTTCTACCTGTGTCTACACGCGTATCAGGTAAGGATCATATTCCAAGAATGTCTGTGTGGGCGTGACCCAACCCAAAGGAGGAAAAAAAGACAGAAAAGCATATACCTGTTTCCTAATCTAAAGGGCAGTGCATTTGCTTCCCAGATGGACACCTACACCAAAACAGGGAAGGTTTACCTCCAACCATACAAAACTGGCAAAGTGAGTATGGATATATGATCATATATTCTGCTGTAAAATAAATGATTATGTCAACTTCATTAGCATACTGTTAGAAAACTGATGCTACATGCAGTAAACAGTAATAGGTCACGTTAAGGAGAGATAATATACTATCCGACAAGCTAACAGCAACTGACATTCAAAACCAGTTTTATTCAGTTTCAACTGTTTGCTAACGGAATGAGACATGAGCCATAGTTTGGGATTAACATGTTGGACATGGGAACATGTTGAAACACAACAGAGCTTCTACAAAACACATTCCTGTGCAGTACTAATAGGTGGTATGCACCTATGCTGTGTGCTACTGCTTCTGCACTGTAGTACACATTTTAACCGCAATTAGCATAGACATGTTTGAATTGCAAAGAGTCCATTATTGATCACTTTTAACTGCACTGTAAAACTTACTTTTCCATTCTCTCATACTGATTCTCCTCTGCACCTGTATATATGGATGACATAGATTGGATGTGTGTACTGTTTACATCTTTTTATCAAATTTTAGAGGATTTAAACTGCTTTCATAAAGAGAAGGTTTAGTGAGAGCACATTGCAGGTGTGTGGGAATTGAAGGGGGTCTTATGAAGGAAAGCTGGAGAAAAGTATATGGAACTACCATATGTGATGTGTGTAAAAAATATATGTAAAACTGCAAAGTCAGACCGTCCTGAGCTGTCCTAACCAGTTTCTGATTTTCCTGTCATTACCGGTCATTAACCATTTATCTCTTTCTTTTCAGAATTGGAAGCCAGTGTTGTTGTCTCTGTTTCCCTCCAGCAGTAGAGAAGTGGGTCGACTGGAGATCCAGAATATCGGAGGTAGAGCAACCTTACAGTGTCTAATGATTTGTACCTAGTGTGGTGTTTTACTTTATTGCTAGGTTAGTCTTATATTGGAGGGTTTTGCCATGCATGGTTATAGTTCAGTGTTGTAATAAACACACAGTCAGATGATGTCAGGTGACATGTTGTAACAGAAAGCCTGTCACATATTAAGGAATAATGTTTATAAGGTGCAGGATTTATCAAGGAGGGGAAGCTCTAAAGAAAGACATCAATGAGTTGTGGGAAGAGTTAGGGTTAGGGTTAGGATTTTGGGGGATTAACCCATGCTTTTCACGAGAGTCAAGATATCTTGGCCTCTGCTACTCTGAATTTTTTTTTATTGTCTGTGTTTTCTACACCTCCTGAGTAAACTACTGGAGAACCCATTGAAACAAGTCTTCTTGATCCATCCCAATTAATTTTATAAATGCACTTTGCTAATACAATGCTTATGGAAGGCTATCATTTCATTGCTTCCACTTTTCGTCTGTCTCTTAGAAGAACCACTAAAAATTGACTACATCGCCCACAAAATGTTT